AATTACTTCAATTCTCTTGTACTTGAGTGCTTGCGCCCCTTGGAGACATCTTGTTCGTGTCCAAATTATAATCTTCATACTCAATAAACACCCCTTTTTGGGACTTTGTTCCAAGAGGTTCGTCCCTTACACAATCGTCTTATTCCTTTTTTTTAATTGTTAACGAGCGAAAACGCGCGAAACACCTATACTTGAACTCAATAATTCAACACTCCCAGATCCATACCTGGAGTTTGGATAACTGAGGAGAATCAAGAAAAAAAATTTAGAGGTAATGTGCACATGCCATGTTGAATGAAAAAGGATGGACTTATGAACCAATAAACATTATAATCCCACATTTTGGGATACTGGATGTTGAAAGATAATATAGCATGTTTGTTTATCCGATGGAGAGGATAACTATTGAGTGTATTTCTCCACAGCATAAATAGATGCCAATGTTGGGGGTTCTGAAATTATGCAAATATATGAAGCATGTGAGGTTTGCCGCAAAGAATTTTCTATCTAAACTACAAGACATGTTAAACCCATTTAACCGAGCAGAAACTCTACATCACTAAAGGTATGACCTGTTGCTTTTTCCTTAGATGAAAAAGAGCAACATTATAGTCTGAAAGCTCAGAAATTATATTAATTGATATTCCAGGACATATGTTTTTCTCATCAGGACCCATCTCATCATCCTCAGCAGCTACAAACAACATAGAATCACAGAAATCAGCAGACACGGAAAGTGAATAGAATTATTCCACATGCAAAGAAGTCAAGTACCTCTTTTCCCATTGCTTAAGGCAGCATTATTAACTGCATTTGGTGCTGCTACTGACATGGGTATCTGTCTTTCTGCCTGTGCTAGCAATGCCACCACCTCATCCCTTTCCTTCTTTAGCTTTGGAATAATACGACATGCAGCATCATGATGCAAAGACAAAATAGCCATTAGCGGCAACCAGAAACCACACCAAAACAATGCATCAAACTCTTTCCAAGGGAGAAAAAAAAATAGCATATATTCACTCATAGATGAAGTTGCCAAATAAAAATCACTATCACATTTATCACCAACATGATCCCATAATAAATGGAATTCTAAGCTCTCATTTCTATCCTCTGGCATTTCGAAAATAAAATTGATAAAATTTTACTCTAAAATTTAGAGCGCTAACTTTTGAATGCACTCAATTTCAGCTTAAATTCTCAATCATCAACACAACCCTACACAGAATCCCCAGTCTTTCAATAGCTTTAAAAAATCCCAATTTATGAACCTGGCTTCACAATTTAAACCCATAATCACACAATCAATAAAAGGAAAGGTACCTTATTGTGCACGAGATAGCACAGTCAGGCTTGAGCTGATCCTCATAGACAAAGGACAAGATCCCAAAATAGTACGCTGGCCCCACAGACGACGAAACAATGGCGTGATTCTCATCACAAATAATTATGGAAGTAAGGCATCAATGATGAGTATGCAACCAAATGATTTAGAAAATAATATCAGATAATCATGAAAAGATCGTTCAATTAATATTATGAAAAACTTACTCTTGTAGGTTCTAGAGCCACAAGGGCGCACACGTGATGCTATGCCAGTGCAACAATGAGAAATAGTAATGATTTCTATGGAATCCAGACCAGGCTACACATGAAAGGAACTAAAAACTTGAGGATGACCGAATACATGATTAAAAATACAAAGAAAACCTCCAAATATCAGGCAAGCAGAAATTATCTTCAATCGGAAAGAACTCTATCTCTCAGCAAATGGAACGTAGGACAAACTGGAAAAGAATGAGATAAGAGAAATGCCCAAAAATTGGAAAGATGACTAAAAATCATTTACAATTAGAATGAAGTAAAGAACATACGAGAAACGTCCACTTTTTTCCCTTTTCCATCTTCCTAGGTGAATTAAGAATAGAGTTTCAAATACAGGAAAAAAAACTTGTAATAGTGCATAATTTTGTCTAATGAGGGAAAAGCTGTATATAAAGTGTAGATGCATATGAACATACACCTTTACTACACGTAACAATAAATGAAGCCATTTTCTCGATTCGTCAAAATTTTTCTTGCCCTTTTTAATTTTGTTAAAAAAATTGAAACCAAAGAATTTCATAACCTTCATCCTAGGCATTTGGACCCACTCCACAGCAGTTAGAGTGGCCTTTGATAGAATCTCTGTTAAGGTCTCTTGAACGACACGCCCCGCTCCTAATAA